AAAAACAATTGTTTCTTTGGAAAGACTAACAAGATTGGCAAACCAACCCAAAGACACAGAGAAAAGATCAAATTAATAAAATTAGAGATGAAAGGGGAATTTTTACAACATAATCTGATTACCATAAATACACAAATCCTCAAAATATTACTGATAAATTTATTTCAAAATCAAATTAAGAAGATCACACATCTTGAGCAGGTTAATTTCACTAAAGGATGCAAAATACACAAGTCAATAGTGGTAATACAACATAGTAATGGATTTAAAGTTAGAAATCATATGATCTTAATAAAGAAGAGCCATTTGACAACGTGAGCTTTCTGGCTGGATTGGGTCAGTTTCCTGGCCCTGCTGGGTCCCACCGCCTTTCTCTGCCCCAAAACACACACAGAGGCTATATTAATTATAAAGCTGTTGGCCGCTGGCTATGGCTTCTTAATTATTAACCCATAACTACTAATCTGTGTATTTCCACATGGTCTTATCTTACTGGATAAAGAGTCCAGGGACCTCTTACTCCTCTAGTGTCTTACATCTCGACTATTCACCATCTCCGCAGAGAAGAGAAGCAAGCGATTTCCTGTTTGTCCCTGCTTATTCACTGATTCTGCCCTGCTATGTCACTTCCTGTGATCACATGATGACTCCTCTCTGCCTACACTTCCCAGAATCCTATTTGTCTCCTCCTACTACCTATCATCCTGTCTGGCCAATCAGTGTTTTATTCATCAACCAATAAGACAAACATATACAAAAAAATAACATTCCCCATCAACAAAGTTCAATATGTCTTCATGTTAAAAGTCCTGACTGAACTGGAAATTTATGAAACACACTTCAACATAAAAGCTGTATATAACAAACCTATAATTAATATAATATGTTCATAATATAGCATGAAACATTGAGAGCATTTTGACCAAAATCCAGATTGAGACAAACTGCCCACTCTCTCCATTTTGATTCAGTATAGAGCATAAAGTCTTAGCTAGAGAAATTAAAACAGGACAAATATATAAAGGGGATAATATTGGGAAGGAAGATGTTAAATTATCCTTATTTACAGAAAACACAATACTATTAAAAGACCCAAGGAATCTCAAAAGAACCTTTAGATTTGATAAGCACTATCAATATGTTACAGGACATACAATCAACACGCAAAAATCAGTAGATTTCATACATGCCAATAACAAACATTGAGAATGAAATTAAGGAAAAAATCCTATCACAATGCCTTTAAATAAAACTAAAAATAAATAAAAATTGAACTAATGAATAAGGTGAAAGAACTCAACAAGGAAATTTTAAGATGATGACTTTTGTTTGAGAAAGACATTATATGGTAGAAATACTTTCCATATTCCTTGTTTGAAAGAACTAATATTACAAAAATAAGTATGCTATAGATTCAATGCATTCCCAGTCAAAATCCCAGTGATATTCCTCACAAACTGAAACAAGAAAGTAACCTTAAAATTCATATGGAAACACAAAATGCCATACAGAAACAAAGAAATTCTAAGCAAAAAAGGCACGGCCAGAATTATAACATTTCCTGTCCTCAACATATGCTACAGAACTAGAGTAACAAAGACAGCATGGTAATGTCACAAAGACAGACAATGTAGACCAACTCGACACAATGGGGAACACCAAAGTAAATCACACAGCTATGTACATCTAATTATTGACAGATTTGTCAAAAACATTACTGAAAAAAAAAAGAGATTACGCATTCAATAAATGGTGCCAGCAACACTGGGCACATAGCTACAGAAGAATTAAATTAGATATGCCATGAAAAAAGCATAAATTCAAGCAGATCAAAATTCCAATTTAAAATAAACTCTGAAACTGCTAATGTGCAACATAAGGAAAACACTTGAAGGATAGTTATAGACAGCAACTCTCTGACTAGAATCCCAATAGCACAGTGAGTAGACCCAAGAATTGATAAGATTACATAAATGTACAAATTTTCTGCACAGAGATCTATAACCAAGCACCATGCCAAGCTCCAGGAATCCAGTTGAAGAGAGGGAGGAGGGTTCATAATGAGCAAGGGAGGTCAAGGTCATGATGGAGAAATCTACAAAGATAGCTGAATCAAGCTCATGGAAACACATGAACTCTAGACCTACAGCTGTGGAGCCTTCATGGGACTGAACTAGGCCCTCTGCATGTGGGAGACAGTTGTATAGCTTGTATATCTGAGGGATCCCTGGCAACAGGACCAAGATCTATTCCTGGTGCATGAGCTATCTTGTTGGAGTCCATGCCCTATAGTGGGATGCCATGCTCAGCCTTAATGCACAGGAGAGGGGCCCGGTTCGGCCCCACCTTTCCCTTTGGGAGAAGTGGAAGGAAGACAGACTGAGGGGGAGTAAAGGGGGTAGGAAGAGGGGTGGGAGGGAGAACTATAGTTGGAACATAAAACGAAATTTAAAAATTAATTACTTAATTAATTAAAAGAAATCTTCTGCATAGCAAAAGAAATTAGTAACAGAGTAGAAAGATACAGTATAGACATGGGATAATGTCTTCACCAGATATACCTCAGACAGAGAGCTAATATGCAGAATATATGAACTTCCAACCAGTAAATCAGCCAATGAACTGAATAGACAGTTTTCAAAACAAGAAACACAAATGAACAATACTTATTTTAAAATATTCAACATCCTGAGCAATAGTGGAAATTCACATTAAAAAAAAAACTTTGAAATTATATCTCACCCAAATTAGAGTGACTAGCAACAAGAAACAAAAATAACCACAATTTCTGGTAAGAATGTATGTATAAAGAGAAATCCTTATTTAATGTTGATGAGGATATAAGCCAGGGAAATCTTCTAATATTGTATTTAACTTAGTTTTTCTCCCAATATATAGTTTAATATGTAGCAATTTTATAGAACCACTTATAATTTTGGAGCCATCACATGGAAGTATTCTGGGAGAAAGTCTGTTCTAATCAAATCACAAAGATCTCTTCACATTACACTCCCAAAATAAGAAAATTATCAAATACATGGACTTTTCTTTACAAAACATAGACTAGTAAGTGCCACAGAGTTAGAAGATTGGGAAAAAAGCAATGAAACTCATACTAAAGTTGATAAAACAGCATGTAACTGATAAATACTAGCCAGAAGTTTTCAGTGTAATACTGTAGTTTAATGTCACTCTTTCTTTGATTTAATTTATACAGTTATTGTATGGTGAAAGTTAGAGAAAATATAAAGACCAGTAGCCTTACAAATCAAATGTTTCTAATTAGTTAGTGAATGTGATGAATTTTATAGTAGCTTGCTTGGGTGGTGCAAGTATATGTCTGCATGTTTGATTGTTTTCTTTTCCTAATTTTTTATTAGAGTATAATATGTAGTAGTTGACAGGAAAGTCAGTTAATGATAACTCCATAAGATTAAGTTGTGAAGGTAATTTAATTCTATTTCATCTCCTTCAGTGGTTTCTAGACCCTGGGTTTTCACCATGATTCTAAATTGTTCGTTTGTAAAGCATCTATAAAACAGGAGGGAGACAGTAATGTTGGAACAGGGAAAATGAAAATGCAGCAAGCTCACTATTGCAGTTCAGCCCACCCACATTGAACAAATGAACATAAATTACTCCAAGCCTTTGGCTAATTTCTAGGGTTTTGAAAGTTGATTTTGACATTTTGTGTCAGCTTTTTTTTTCATTGGATTTATTGGAAGAACTTTCAAGAATCTTTATTCACACTTTTGCTGATGTTCTGGGATTTCCTTCTGAGGTTTATGAAAATCTTCAAGAATCACATAGTTGTGATGGGTACACAGTTTTGGAGTAGTTATATGCAAATATGAAAGTTCAGTGTGTTTACTTTTTATATATCATCATATATTGTGAGATTAGCAAACATATCAGTAAATGACAGCCTGCTATAGTCTGCTATACTAACATATCCCAAGAGAAGTGATATAATATGACATGAGGTGGACACATGGGAAACACCAAAAACAGTGATAATGCAGCAAGGCAAACAGACTAGCTTGAATAATTGTTGTGGATTCTGGGATACAGAAGCTATCCCAAGTTATCCAGTACCTATCTCAAAAATGACTGTCCAGGTGATAGTGGCCTGGAGACTGAAGTGTTTGAAAGTATAGACTGTAGGGCTTGCTTGATTTGTGTTTTAAAAGTGTTCTCAAACAACTTAGAGACTTACTGTCTCTAAGAAGTAGTAAGCCTGAGGGGACAGACCCCTCAAGATAAGCATTATATCAATTCAAAGATTTCTAAGCCAGCAAAAATGATTCATCAAGTAAAATCTCTTGCCACAATTCTAATGACTGAGTTTGATCCCCAGAACTCAATTTTTGAAAATACCATATGTGGTAGCTTGCACCCTAACACTCCTATGGCACACGTCCAAATAGACAAAATAACAAGAGATTCTGTGCCTCAGAAACAAGATGGAAGGAGAAAACTCTGTTTTACTCTGTCCACACAACTTCTATGGCGTAAGTGTACACACACACACACACACACACACACACACGTGCATGCGCAATTTACATGCACATGCATGTGCACACATGCATACATGGCAAGCACATGGACATACATACAAAATTAGAAACAAATACTTTAAATATATCTCTAGGAACCTTTAAGTGAGTCCTACATATTAATAAGTTAGAAGAATTATAAATTGCTTCCTAAATTATTGGCCATGGATAGTATATGTTCTCAGCAGATAACAAAGAGTGTTTGATTAGGTTATTAGGAAATGAACTTGGGAAACACTAAAGTAATCTCTTCCTGAAATAAATAGATCACTTTGGAGGAATCCTTCATATTTCTCAATTTGGAGTTGATTAATTTATGTCTATAGTGTCTAAATTAGTGTTATCCTGCCCTTACAATAAAAGATAAAATGAATCAGAATCAAGAATATTATTCAAGGTGTTCATAATGAATCGTATCTTTGAATTGTCTTTCAGATTGTTTCTGTGGATCCAAACTTCCAATACAGACGCCCTCAAAGTATTCCGAATGATTTCATTTATTTCCGTCCTGTTAGTGCGGAAAATCGGGAAAGGGCCAGAAAACAAAAACAACAGAATCCAACTTTGACCTCTCAGCAACCCACCCATGAAGGTATCCCTCAGAGGGACATGGGGCTTACGAATGAGGTAGTGATGGCTAACACACCCCCACTAACTAAGGAGTTAGACAGCATTGCCCTTGTAAAGCCAAAAACCTCAGGGCTTCTTCGCATAGAGAAAGTACCAGTTAAGTCTCCAGGGGTGCCAGAATTTCAACGCTTAGATGTTACAGGAATTGCCAGCCCAGATGAAAGGGGGAAAGGCACCGCAATACTTGTTGCCGGTGTGCCTGGAAAGGAGGATCTAGATGATACAGAAATTCCAACTTTGCAGTTCACTGGGTTTGTACACCTGGAGGCTTTACTAAATGAGTGTTCACCATCCTCAGAATACAGTCGCCCAGGAACCCCAAGAAATCTGTGGATGGATTCTCCAGAAAATGCAGAGTCCCCTGAAAGTGATGATATGGAAGTAGCAAGAAGCATGTATCCATTTAGAGAAAGATCCATCTTTCGGCGTTCCTGGGCAGAGCTCTTAGAGGCACCACTAAACAGTGAGGGGCTCCATGTTCTCCAAACTACTCCCAAGGAAGAAAACAGAGATATGGGTTACAGAAAGCTAACAGCAGAAGAAGAGAATCAAGTAACCATCCGTCCTCAGGATCAACATTTCCAGGCTCTGCAAGGCCCTTTCCCTTTATTGCCTGAGCGCCCTAAACTCCAGCGGCAGCGCAGTCGAAGCTTACCAAGATACAGTGAAATCAGAGGCCAATACTTAAATACACCTGAATTCAAATTAGATGCAGAAGAAACTCATTTCTTCTCACATGACCGTAATTTACTAGCTGAAGGTAAGAGTTTTCTTGCTATCACTACTTTTGTAAGTTATATATAATTTTTCTTATAAGTAGACTTTCACCAGGAAGTTTATTCTCAAACATGCCACCTAGAATATCTAGCCCTTTCTATTTTGTAAAATATTTTATGATGGAATTAGTTTCTCTCCCACAAATTTAAACCTTATAATCATATTTGGTGATTGCAGCCTGATGCTGAGTTGGGTTAATTTAATCACATACCAATTAGTAATCATTGGGGGTGTGTTATAGAATATACAGACTTTTGAAGACTTCAAATTAGGAATAAAAATTCACATTTTTAAAAGAACTTCAATTTAGGAAGAAAAGCAAGAGAAAATGAGGAGTCCTCATTCATTCAGCTTTAATCCATAGAGCAGAAAAAAATGTCCACTAACACACTCATTACCCAATAACTAAGTAGTAGATAAGAAAAAAGGAATGATGTGATGATGGGCATTCTTAACCAACTGGATAAAAATCCAACAAATAGCTTCCCTATCTCCTCTTGTATGTGAGGAAATAGCAACAAGAAAGTATGAATTGGCAAATAAACCACTAATATTTTAACCTATAATTGATTAAAGGTAATATTAACATAACTTATATTTATAACATTTTAAATCCTTGATTTAAATTTGCTACTAACTATAGAACAACATTTTTGTTTCATCTTTACACATATGTAAGCATATATAAAATGCTCCTGTGCATACTGGGTAGTATTAGGAATTTTCATGACTAACTTCTGTCAGAGTCCCGATGATACAACTTCATGAAAAGCATACCAACTAGAAATATTTTTAATATAGTTTCACCAAACTCCTGATGATGATTTCAATGAAAAATCTGAAGCCTAACCCAGAGTTTACCTGGAATTCAGACCTTGACCCATTCTGTAATGTTTCTTTTTCTGTAAATATTTAGAATTCTATGAAGTTATTTATCAAGAAATTAAAGTCTAACCTAAGGACAGCTCAAATAACATTATCATTTCAAATGTAAAATTGATTCAACCTTATTCTCAAATTGAAGACCTACTGAAGACTGCTATTAGCAACCGTGCACTGCTGAGCCAGTAAAGAGCTTGCCTTACAAGCAAGAGACTTGCTTGTTTGATTTTGAAAACTCTGGTTGCAAAACAAAGAGGACATAGTCATGTGTGCTTGTTA